ACCTCGGGCGGGCAGCGCGAGGCGACCAGCTGCGCCATCTCCTGCCGCATCCAGACCGCCTTGAGGGCGGCGAGGAAGAGGTTCGCGCGCAGGCTGGTCGGGCCGCAAAAGTAGAGGCCGCCGACGGTCGCCGTCAGCCCGCCCAGCTCGGTAAGGGCCCTCCACGCGGGCATCATGTGCATCAGCCAGGAGAGGGGCATGCCTGCCGCAGGAAGGCCGCGTCGGCAGGGAGGGCGGGGCAGCGGTCGCGAGGCGGAGGGGCGCGCCTCCGGAGCCGACCGAGTCGAGCACGTAGTGGAGGTGCGCGTCAATCTTTCCGCTCGCCTCGTCTCGCTCGGCGATCAGCTCGCACGCCTGGACGGCGTGGTGCATCATGAAGGCCCGCCGCTCGGCCGGCGTCGTGTGCACCTCCGCGCTCGCATAGTCCTTGTGCTCCTCAACCTGGCAGACCACCACGCCCGCGTTTGTCCGAACGATGTGGCGAGGCAGGTACCGCATCATCACATCCCCTTTTGGCCACTCCTCCGGCCGCGGGTGCGCCCGCACAAACGCGGCGATGGCGTCATAGTCGAGCTCCGACCGCCACTGCAGGCTCGTTGCCGCCCGCTCCAGCGCAGATTCCCGGTCCCAATCACTGGCGCGGAGCATGCGCAGCAGCCACGCGTCGCGAAGCCCCGAGGCCGGGAAGGAGCCGCTGCGGCGGGAGTCCCTCTCGAGCGCCTCACGCAGCCACGCGAGCGCCTCGGAGTGCGATTTCGCGAGCTCCTCCACGGAGCAGGTGGCACACATGACGGGGCCGAACCTGTTCTTGTCGGTTGTCGCACTGGGTTGTCCTCGGAACCTCGGGCTGTCGCTGACAGGGAGCGGATAGTGCAAGGACTCGCTTTTCTTTTTGAGCTAGTTTACAATCTCGCACGGCAAAACGGAGCGTGATTTATTCGGTTCCGAGCTTCTCTGTGTTACGAGGCTGATCCGGGCGTAACGCCAGCACAGCGAGGCGCCCACGTAGCCATCCGAAGTCGCGTCAGGTTCGCTCGACACGCTAGCGGAGCGGTTGGCGAGGCTAGTGGTGGCCATAGTCTGGTCCCCTAGGGGCTGAACGGGTCGGCGCGCGCCCTCCTTCCCAAGCCGCGCCGGCCGCCGCGCGCGCCGCTTCGGCGTCGGGCCAGAATCCAGGGCTGCGGCTGGGAGGGCGACGCGAGCCGAGCCGTTCAGCCCCCTATCCTCTCGTACACCGCATGCCACGCACTTCTGCACGTCGCGACAGCCGCGTCGTGCAAATCCCACGTGACTTCACCCCATTGCGTGCGGCGCAGATAGCGACAATGACCAACGCGCCCTCTTCTGCCTCTGACGACGACCGCGCGTGGCGCACCTCGGCTGCTCGCCGACGGTGAAGCAGAACAGCAACTCAGGCCGGTGGTACATCGAGTGCCTCTACCGCAAGTCGAAGACGCACGTCAAGATGTCGCTCAACAACCTACGCTCCAGAGGTGAGTCGCCCGCTCCACGACCCTCCCTCCCTACGGCGCGGCCCCCTTCGAGCCGCGAGACTTTGGCACGCAGGCCGCAGCGCTGGCGGCAGTTCCACGCTTCATAGAGTGGATCGTTGACGGCTTCGCCAATGGGGCTCTGGCGGCAGCACCTCCACCCTGATGGACGTGGACGCTGTCCTCTGGCGGTGTTGTGTCGTAGGGTACTGCTATAACTGGTTTAAAGAGTTTCATGTGCTTGCGCGCGTACGCACATGGGGCGCACGACGGACCAGTCCGCGCCTGTGGACTGAGCCGCACCACACGGTGGGAGCGCTGGCCGTGCGGCACGGCACATGGGGTCGGCGTGTGTGTGTGCTCCTGCTCCACGCGCGAGAGATGGTGTGTTTGACTCGCTCGGTGCCGCGAGCGAGAGGGGAGGGCGAGACGCCGCGCTGGGTATTAATCAGAGTGTTAGTCAAATAATCCTCGCACACCACGACTCGCGCATAAACCACGACTCGACCCACAGGGAGAGTGCGTGCGCTGCGACGGACCCAGCCGGCACGGCACCGGCAGTGCGGACACAGTGCGAGTTGCGATGACTACCGACGCACAAGCACACCACGCGACGTAGTCTGCAACACCGCGCGGCTGAACACCACACACTTCACCGGTAGGACTCACTGGGTCGGACACGCGCGCCGTGCAGCGGCAACCGAAGATACCGAGAAGCCCGCCCGAAGCTCCGAACCATGTGCTGTGGTCGCTGCCACGCCACCCGCGCGGCCGGCCCGGGCGCAGGCCGTGACTGATCGCGGCGGCAGCGCCGCGCGCCCTCGTGCCGCGGTGCGCGCCGCTCGCGCCGCGCCAAGGGAGGTCTTCAGCCTGCGACGCGCTC